ATAGCTTCCTGTAATTTCAGTCTTGACAAACAGCTAGTTAAACGTTTGCGCTTTCTTGATTAAAAGCTCGTTTCATATTGTAACTAGTATTGTTCCAGACTCAATTTTACATTGAGTTTGTTAAACAACCATTTGTTTGTTGGCACAAATACAGTTTGTTTCAAAACAAATGTAGATTTTACACAACAACCATTTTAATGTCAACGTCTAAACATTGACCATTCCATCTAAACAGATAGAAATGGTAGTGGCTTACAAAGAAATAGAATTTCTCGTCCAATTGTGATGTCATTTAGTTGGTACGCTCCACGCTCTCACAAGAACGATTGACGAATCAGATGAAAGCGAGAAGAGTTTGTGGTTATGTTGCGCAAGTGAAGACTTTCGCCGAGTGACCGGAGGCTGACGATTATTGCGGTCAGCTGATCAACAATTAGCGTCAGTCAAACAGCTGATCGTTGAGTTTCAAGTAGCTTGCAGACGCAGTTTTTATTTTCCCTATAGGTGGTGTTGGGCGTAATTTTTGTTAGTTCCTGTTTGTTTGTTACAAGTGTTTGCGATTTTACTCACTTTTCAATATAAATTGAATCCTTTAATCACCGTTGAAGATTGTGTATCATCACTCAAGAAAGTTATTAGGGAATTGTGGGAGATAAAAAGGTTCTAATGATTGAACTGTTAATTCAAGGCATTGACAAGGACAACGTCTCTTTCCTTAATGCATTACTTATGTACCTTTGATTTTGGTTTACTAATAATTATATCCTAATTGTGTTACAACAAGTGTTCATCAAATGTCTCCGTCACTGTGCTGTTGTAAATACAACATGTTTAACAAAACAAAAATTTAAATATTAACTTGTTGTAAGTTGGAGCGTTTTTAATATGATTTGATAACTGAAAACCAGCAGCTGGGACAGCCTTCGGCTATTTGAATAATAAATTATTCGTTACGTCTAGTCCATGTTGATAGGATGTCTTTCTTGGTATCTAAACGTCAACGTTACAATAAATACTGGTAAGCTACTAAGTATTAATTATTATTAGTTTTTTTGTTTTTTTTTAATGAACGATAGAATCTGGAACACAAACAATTATGTCATAGTATCAAGCTCCATCTAGACGAGTTTATACATAGCCACCTATATTACATTGTATTAGAGGTGGGTATGGTTTATACGTCCGGTTGTATCAATTCACGTTTTTAACTTTTACTTACGAATTGGATGTTCATGTAACATTGCAATCAAATTTTAATTTCATTCCCCCCTTGTAGAAGCCAAACAACAGTGTTTTGATGCACTAAATTCATAAAATTCGTATCCTGTCATTCAATCAAACCCCAACCGTAAATTAACTCGCACATTAGCCTTATTTGGCATCCCCTGTACCAACAGTCATCTGCACGCAAACACACAGTAGTTGCAAACAAATTAGTTTCGCCGATGAAACTAGTTGCCAACTGCCCGAGTTTGCCATGTGTTGTATTTACTTTTGACAAGTTAGTAAACGTGCATCGGCTACTACAGCTGACTGCCAGTTGTGCCAACTTACAACAGCTGTTCTCGGTTCACGAATGTCAGATACACACATTGACCTCAATCTAACTCTGAAGTCACTCCCGCATAGTTGTTTACTCACACGATGATCATAAATGATGAGTGTGTTGCAAAATGTAAAATATGAAACTGTGTGAATGTGATATCGAAAGTATGAAAACTGCGTTCGAAAATGTGTTATGTTAATTTGTGTTTTCGACTTCTCTTTGAGTCGAATCATTGACTTATTTAAGATGGGGATAGAATGTTATTTCTATCTATAAGACAAAGCTTGACTATTTTCTACCTGAATTAATAACAATATAAATCATAACTATATATAATCATAATAATATTGGTTCTTCTTAATAAGACCTCCACCACTTTTAATATTTTCCTTATTTTAATGAAAGTGGTAAACTAACCTAACACAACCCAACCTAACCTAACCAAACCAATCTAACCCACCCTTACCCAAACTTACCTAACTCAACCCAACCTAACCTAACCAAACCTATTCAACCCGACCTACCCAAACTAACCTAATCTTACCTAACCTATCATAACATTACCCAACCTAACTTAACTTGCGTTACAGTTGAGAAACATTTTAATAGGAAAGGAAATATTTTAATTATGTAAGTTTATAGTTTATCCAGTATTAACATGAGAGACAAAAGTACCATCTTCTGATGTTAAAACACTCACTCCTAACTCTAAGTCTAACATCGTCAAGCAATTGTTAACCTTGTGGTGCTCTCAGAATGTTCGCAAAGGAAGTTGTTTGATCTATTTAAAACTCAAAGGGTAGCTTAAACTGTTTAGCGTCTTGCAACTTGCTAAACGTACAACAACGGAAGTATTGTACACTACAAAGCATGGTTCGTGACTCAGTTAGGTAAATCTTCCTAACGTTAATTGGATGGATATGCATCATGTGCTTCTATGTTTTACCGGTCCGTCGGGGCAGTATTGTATTGCTAACATACCGTGATATGTTAACATAAATTTTGAATACTGTATTTGGTTATCAAAACTGTGTGAGTAGAATTGTAAATTAGACTTATCTGACTGAGAAATTGTCGAAATTGTATAGGACCGACCTTAAAGATTAGTTCAGGTTAAAGGAATCACCAATTTTTGTTATATATTGAATCCAAATTTGACGAATCTTAAGACTGAATACGTTGAGGGAATGATTTTTAGCTGAAGTAAGTAGAGAAGACTAATAGTGTATAGCCGATACTGTACAATATTAATCGATCTAGTATTATTATTACTAGCAGCACAGACTATAGTCCATTAGTCCATTGATTAACCATTAACAGTCTATTGTCTGTGCTAGTAATTAAACGATTGGGGAGCGAGCTGGTCTAGTGGCAGAAGACAGGGCTTCAGAGCCTGAGGCCCCGGGTTCAAAACCTGCCAATGGATTTTATCCATGTGATAATGCCGCAACCCGCTTGGACTAGCCTGATGTAATGTGTAAAACAGTTCCGGGGTAGAAGCCACCGCCCTACCTAGGATGTTGAATTGGGACATTAAAAAGTAGCTAAACGATTCAGGCATGTTTACGTTATAAAATTCTATTTTTAGGCATTTCTTTGGAATTTTCAAGTGTGTGTGCATATTTTGGTGTACGTCGCAATTAGCTTCCAAAGAGTTAGATCTTGTCAGCACAGAGAAATTATTATAGATAAATGTTCGCGAAGTGAACAAACTGTCTGAAAATCCTGCCACAAATTGACAAGTTTGTATTTTGTAGCTTAAAACTCCTTTGGGAACTGTCCTAAGTGAGGGCTATCCTAGGGAGTGCTATTATTCCCTTTTCAGACATTTTTTTGTGATCTAAAACCTTTCCTCAATTTTTGAACCTTCAATCATGTTCTCTTCCCCTTCTTCTTTTGTTATGTTACATCACCATGTCCAATAGATGAATACCTAATTAATGCTGACTCCACCCTCTATTGATATAAAGGATACGTATAGGCGTGTCTAGTAGATAACAATACATTGCCATTATAACAAACAGGTAATCAATTTATGACCACAAGTTCATCCCTGTAGAGTCATCCATGGTATTATGTGCTGACATAGTTGACGGGTAAATGCATTTTCTTTGTTATTTGCATATAGCTGGATCGTTATTTCAATATGCATTCTGCGTTATTAAAATAGCATGGTAACTGTTTCTAAGGAACTCTTGTGTAAAATAAGTTTATTTACTGATGATTCTTAAATTAAAATACTTTAGTGGGTCTATTCTAAAAGTGGACGACCACTACCAGCTTTATCCCTAGGCAAGTCTGGTAGGGTAGGTTAATGAAGTTAGTAGGAAGCTAGATTATGTTCTATTAGTTTACATAATCTTAATTTGCATTAGACAAATTTTAATGAAGGAAACCCGCTTCTTGAAAAGATCAAATCTTTTTACAATAGACCCAATTTATAATGGCAAAAAATGTCGGACACAAAAAGAAGAGAACAGTATGTTATCGAGTGTATGTTAACCTTCTTTATCACGACCTCAAAATGGCGCGAGTTGCTTATCAGCGTTATCAAAGCTTTCCTCCACGTGAATTCAAATCTCACAGCTTTGTCTTTGCCCTCTTGTGATTGTGGTATAAAAACTTGACAGCTTGAAACGGATTCTGTCAAGAGCTTTCAGATTGTTGAGAGGTAGCAAAGTCCACGAGTTTAAACTATAGATCATTCATGCCTTTATGCTTCGAAGATTTGTTGTAAAAAATACTATTAAGTTTTACAGTATAATTTGTAATGAATTCTGTATGTTAACATGTGTATGGAGTTACTTTTAAGTAACCACACGAACAAATTATTATTTTTATAAATTAATTTACAAACATCCATGAACAAAACAGATTTTCGTGTCGTGTAAAGTCAAGGTTAAATTACGTAACTTATCATTTAATTGCCATTAGTTCAACATGTGTAACGCCGCTTCACCTGAAAATCCCCTTTTGCTTCGATTGTTGACGAAACACCTAAATATCCAATAGACGAATCGCTAATTTAAACCGAGTTATTGGAAACATATTATGTTATAAATATAGTTTTTTTTATAGTAAGCTAGACATGTTTCATTGAAATTTATCTAGCAGTAGTCTATTTGTAGCCTACCAGATGTTCATTCATTATTTATAATCACATATGATCTATTTTAACATTTTTTCGTTTAAAGGTTTAGTTTTTATTTTCAAAATTCGTGATTTTATGTCGATTTAGATTTAAACTATAGAAATAGTCTGTAAAATCATGATCTGCGGGAATAATCAATTTCGTTGTCAAATGTTGTGTTACTCGTGAATTAATTACTGTAAGTAATACGTCTGAATTATTGAAGACATACCTTTGATAGACGTGTTAGAGGTGCCTACCACATAATAATTGTCTCGTCTTTTATTTCGTGGTTGGCAATACTTACCTCCCCCTACTTTACAGAGGTGTGTGCAGTGTGTGATGAAGGCGCACGTTATCAGGCAGGGATTGTTGCGCGGCTGAAGGTCACTGTAGAGAGCGCGAGACGCTCAGTGTAGAGGCAGCGCGCGAGCCGTGTGGTGTGTGATGGTGCGCGTGTGCGAGTGACGATGGAAGCAACGGCGACGATGCCACCTGTAGAACTGGCTCCACAGCCACCCGAGGTGAAAACAGTGGATACCAACGAGAAGACAGTGGACAACACCGTGGCGTTCCTTCAACAAGAGATGACAGCTAGCAGCGTTGACGTCAATGGTGAAGTGGAAGAGGAAGATGGACAAGTGACAGAAGTGACGAAGATAGAGTGTGAAACCTCTGAGAATGGGCTAAATGAATCTGGTGACGCGAATGACGTGGACGATACGATTGAAAACGATGAACTAGCTCCTATGAAATACAACGAGAACGAACAAGTGTGGGTGAAACTCGACGAACAAGTTAATACCGAAGTACTCGAAAACGCACAAGAAAGTGAACTAAAGGTCATTGTTGAAGAAATGGACAGTTTAGTTATTGTCGAGGGCGAGAATCAGACCGAGCAATCCACTGAAGCGGAAATAGACCAGCCTCTGAAATTGGAACTGCACATAAGCGAATCCGACCTGGTGGATAAACCTGATGAGCCGAACGACGGTTTACACATTGAAACAGAAGCGAATGCGAAGGAGACGTACTCGTGTCAGAGTTCCCCTGGGTACATCAAACCCCCGGTCAGATCGACAATTATAAAACAGAGATCACTCGACACTCAAGGTGCATCTGACGATGAGGGAGAGATGGGACGTTCGAAAAGAGGTAGTTTGCACTCACCGTCGTCGAAAATCTTGACAAAAATGACCCCGATGACGTGGGACCAGTGGATGAAAAGACCTGCTTCTTACGTTCCGCCCAAATCCCCCGAGAAAGACGCTAAACCTACCTCTCCTACTACGGAAGTCGATGGGAAAGAAGAAATCAAAGAGACAAAGGAGGAAACAAAGAAGGGTGAAAGTCCTAAAGTGAAGAAGACGAGGTTTCAAATCACCCCTTCGAGCGCTGACGTCCTCGAAATCAACCGCGACGAACCAAAGGTCTTGGAAACCTTTGACGAGACCGAAGAAGACAAATTTCTGTTGGAAAACCCCAACGTGCTGGTGGAGAGCCACCTGAACGAACTGACGATGGTGGAGTCGCAGCTCAAGAAACTCGGGGCTGCCGCGAAAGTGGGGGTGTGTACGAAGAGGTTGGGTCAGCCGGAGCCCGACCAGAAGTCCATGGGTAGGGCGAGTTCCGGGGATCAGAAGAGTAAAGGGTGGTTGGCGTGGTTGTCAGTGTTCACAAAGAAGCCTCCTCCGCCATCGCCTCCGGTCAAGAAGCAGCCTGCCAGGAGACCTTGTCCGCAACACTCCAAAACTGCGGCTCGTCCTAGACCCGCAGGACCCATCCTGGCCAACTACGACCCCAAGATGGTGACCGTTATTGAGGTACAGTAAAAATATGTAGCATGATGTGTGTGTGTCGTAATTGGCATTGCTTGTGTATGCAGTTAGAAAATAAATTGTTATTTATATGTCTTAAATAAGCCAACCTTTTTGCTGGAGGTGAGAAGATATACGACGATACGACTAAGCGATGAACTAGCGTAAAATCAAGGTCGATTGCTGTTAGTTGCTTCATCGTCGAATGTTATCATCTCTTCCCACTTTTTAATTATAGTGGCAGAATTTCATCAGTCGGAATTTAATTTAGTGCACTTTCATGCTCATTTTTGAAACCGTCACTAAATGCTAATCCTAATTTACTACTACGATGGAGAATATTAGGTCGCTTGCTGTTTCTAGTTGCTTAGTAGGGCCAAATCAAGTTAAGCGAATAACGTTTATCATCCATCAGTTTCAACACCCGTTTTCTGAACTCGTAGTGGAACGTTGCAATTTAACAACAAAAGCCTATGCGTAACACTTTTTGCCGAACTAGCGTGTTTTATGGTCCATTTGTTGTGGCTTGCGGTAAGTGGCTTTTTGTAGATTTCCTTCAATGTAACCTGTTCAGTCCACTTGGCACAATGAAGAGAAAGCTACCCGAAGCCTTGGGTCGTACAATGACATAATCGCCGAATACGGTATTGGGTCGCCAAGTCACTGACACAGTAAACGTGCCTTTGCTACGACCTTGGGAGGTCGTTATGCTGTATTGGTAAACAAATAGAACACAGGTGAATGGATTCCGAGTAGTAAACACATTTTAAATTCGTTTCAAAAAGAAGATTTTCAATGTTGTAACAGCTTGATTCTATTCATATTAATTTGAGATGGGGAGGCCATCCATGTGCGTCTTTGAGCCCAAATAGGAGTGAAGGATAAGTGTATTTAGAATGGAGTGTGATGCCTTGTGTAGCTTTATTACTGACTAAGACCAGCTGTTTCATTAGTAGGGACCATTAATTCAGCCTAGTGAAAACCATCATTGATTTGATTAGTGAAACAAATCATTGATTGTAATATTTCAAACCCTTTTGTCACGGACGCTATATTGGTTTATCGGTACGTATGAATTTGTCTAAAGATTCAACGCGTTTTGGGCTGTTTACGAATGGATATCAAAGCGAGCAAGGATATTCCATAGGGGTTTATCGGTAGGTACGAATTCCTCCAAAGATTCAACGCGATTTGGACTTTTAATATCAATAAATAAAAATATCAAAGCGAGCATGGTCGGTTTTCCGTATCTACACAATCCTGCTGTGGCTTTTTGCAAGAGGCACGCGACTGACCAAACCAGTCAGATCAACCTTGGAGGAGTTGGAGTTGAAGTTGGCATTTCTCCCTCCCCCCCCCCACTCCACCCACTCAACTCTCGCAGTAAACCCTGTGATAAATGTGTTGTATCGTACAGTAGACTGGCGTTTCTGGCTGTTTGTTAGGCTGACCAAACAGTTACTCAGTTTCCCCCAACCGCTTGTCGGTTTCCATAATTTACGAATCTCAATCGTAGGACTTTGGAAAGGAGTGAGTTTTAAACTTCTAAAGTGGCATGTGATCACTAGGCGGATCATTTGGTTGTTTGCTTTCCGATCTTGGCTAATTGGTCCTAATGAATTTTGAACCAAGCGTAGCTTCTGATTGAAACCAGTATTATTCGGATTTGATGTCGATCCAGATACCACAAGAGTGGTTTAAACCATCACACAATTCCTTTGGTCCTCACATTGACCTAATATGTCACAGATGTGTTAACTGCTCAATATTGTATACTATTCTATGAGGCAACTCGTTAGTACAGTACTGTTCTGTACCCCCATGTACAACGCTCAAGTTGGCTTGTGATATAACGGGTGATATGAGGAAGTAACTGGCCATAACGGTCTGCATGCAGTAAATTTGTAGACCATAACCAACATTATTGAGGTGCGTTAATGGGTTTCATCAAATGCGGAATAGCTGAAATTCGCTTAGCAAGAATAAAGTGAGATCCCCTGTAGTTTTTTTTGTGTCACATTAGATACGGTCGTATTTTTCTTAAATATACCCCCAACGGCTATTTTTTAAACCAAACGTACTACTGTAGGTTTCTAAGAACAGCAATTGGCAATAGTTTTCAAATTCCCTGGTCAGAAACCCTTACCGGTACCATGAAGTGGTGAAAGTAACTATTTAATTGAATCCAAAAAAATTGCAACAACTTTTTAACCATGTAGTGTTTACGGCATTTGGGGTGGTACAATTTTGTTTGGACTTAGAAGGACCATACAATAATTAATTTAAAAATCGTACAAGCCGTTTCGTGAAAATACCAGTTTTCATGTTTGTGGGAGTTTAAAATTTGCCATTAAAATTAAATGTATAAAAACCGAAAAAGATGTCTGGAGTCCCTATATTTTCTAGTACCCACATACATGATTTAATAAAACTCAAACCACAGGTTTAAGTTTTACAGGACTATTTTTTTCCACATGACTACTTTTTCCTGTTCAGGGGGCCCAAAACGGCTTTTTCTTTACAAAGCGGAAAGTCTAAAATATTAATGAAAAACCATGTGTTAAAATATCCATCAGGTTACACAATAAAGAATTCCTATACTGTTTTCTGGCAGAATATTTCATTTATGGTAACCTTTCACACAAAAAATATAGTTTTAGACAGTAGTATAGGTAACCTATACAATGCGGTTACATTGGTTAATTGGTCATCTATCTATATATTAATAGGCAAGCATGTTTCTTTAAAACCTTTTTTCTCAGCTCGTGTGCATCGCAGAGAAAATCTGCGCATACTGTTAGAAAGATATTTGCCTGTAGGTGTGCAGAATCCCTTTGTAAATTAAAATAGGCTAAAAATAAGCACTAAAAATGAATTTGAAAACTTCAAAAAATTAACATGGACTATATGGGTTGCCATGATGATGACGAAATAACAACAAAATGTAAACAGAAAATCAAAACAAATGGAAGAAATTCACATCACATGTTTTATTTACAGTGTGGGGAGAAAATAGAGAAGTCTGTACATTAATTATTTTTGGTCGAGTTTCGACCACAGGACGACCACTAGTATGTTTTTATTACACCCAACCGTAAACTACACCATAGTCACAGACTACGAAAACATATGTATTATATTGTTGTGGCATAGTGCTGAGCTGGTACTTTGCATCTTCCAGCTAGTTAGATTATTAATAGACGCAACCAGTTATAAGTTAGACGTGTCGTAACGTTGTAAGCTTGTTTTGACATTGCGATATTATGCAAATATTCAAATGATATTCATGCCAATAATGCTGTTCTCGATCTATTTTTTTGTGATTCCAAGGAAAGAGGCAAGTTTAACTTAAACTCTTATAAGTATTATCTTCGATTCAAGCTCTCAAAAGATTTGAAATGTTTAATCACAGCTAACATTGTCAAAACGGGTCTTTACGTACTTGGAAACGGTTAAGTTGGTCGAATTGACAACATAAAAAGCAGTTACCGTTACTGTATTATCAGCTCTACTTATAACTGCTTTGTAAACTCTTATCTAACTATTAATTACAACCATGTTAATGGGAGCGAGTAGAACGATGTACAGATAAAGTTGGAAAACTGCATACAGTACCTGTCTTTAGTCTTTCCTACAAGGAGAATCCCTATACTATTGTAAATCGTAATTGTGTAAACGGCAATATCTCATAAGAGAAAATGTACAAAACTAAATTAAAGTCGTTGACCCGAATTTGGTTTAATCTTAGTAAATAATAGGCAACAAGGGAAATGCTATTTTTCACTACTAATTACAATAGCTTTTTCCCTGAAGGGAAATTTGCTGATAAATTATCTTTAATTTTCAATGCTTTTCTTTCAATAATTATGTATTAGATAAGTATTTTTTATAATGAATACAATGAATTTTGTATGTCATACATTGCTAGTAATATAATTAAGTGAATGGATTTGTTTTCTCTGTGGATAATTGAAATCAAAGTTTTGTTTGTGATAACATTTTTGTGACTAAGCGTACAGCGTACAAAGTTCGTATAAACTATTGATCTATAACGTCATTTAAAATATGTCGAGGCCTCTAGCCCTAGAACAGTCCCCTTTAAATCGTAACATACAATTAAAAAAGGACGTTCCTTTTCTAAATGTAAATATACCCCAGTTTTAAAGTTTGTTTTACTTTGTGAGAAATTCAAATCTAAGATAACAGCAAGTCAACCTTAATGTGGGTTTTGATGGATTTTCAATATATCATTAGTACTTTAGTGAAATATTTCATCTTACAAGGTAGGTTAAACTTGTCACTTAGTCAACTTGAACCTTGCACGTATGACACAGCTACAACACTATGGTGTAGAACAGTTGTTAGTCGGCCTTGAAGTTTTAATTGATGTTCTCATTCATACTCATTATTGCCACAAGGTCGGTTAATATCATTAATTACTTACACTACACTAGTGTTGTATTTTGCTAGCCTACATGTTCCCGATACAGAATAGTATTTGTAAAAGCTTGGGTCCAAGTGTCTTCTACTCGATAATTGCTAGAACAACAGTTTAATGAACCATGTAATTGGGCCTCTTAACAACAATTGGCTTCTTGGAACAGCGATCAATTGGATTTTCCTGCATGCTTGGTGTCTAGGTGTAGGTTTTGAACTCTTAAAGCTTAGTTTTAAATCCAAATTGCGTTTTAGCTCAAGATTGCCCGAAGAGTTGAAGAATTCTATTGCAAAACATTTATCTCCTTTGTCCACTATCACGTATTAGTTTTCCTTTTTAAATATTTATAATCGAAGACAAACTAGTGTTTTAGCTCGTGTATAATTTGATATGAATTTGCAGCTTTACAGTAAAAATATATAGAATAAAATATTTTTTTGTATTATTTCACATCTATAATACAATTATAAGAATATATAAAATTATATTGCGTTGTTCCTAGTTTTTCCTGCTACTGTATATGGTATTCAAGACAGGTGCAATTAGCCAAATAATTGTGGAATGATTT